GAACGTGACCTCCACAGCCAAGGTACTCGTTCTTCGTCGGAATGTTCCGGGTACACACATAATGAGAAGGCAAAATGGTGACTCTAGAGAATCAGCAATGGCATAAGCATGAATCTAAACGATGGTCCGAGGGTCGTTTGAATGCTGGACACGTACGCCGTAATGGCAGTAGCATGCGTCCGGCTGGTCAACGTCAGGGACAGCTGCCGCATGCTTGCGATGCTTCTAGATTCGCATCAAGCCCTCTCCTCTGTCCCTTCACGAATGGATTTTTGTTTTGTCCTCCGAGAAGGCGCTGGATCCGGGGCTTGTGATGCGCGAGACAGCTGCGAATATCCATTCACGTCGACGGCCTCTACATACATAGTTACCATGGAAGAATCATCATTCAGAACGTCATTTGCAAACTTCTCGACCATATCTCTTTTTTGTTTGTTGAACAATATGAAGTAAACAGTCGGGAAATGCGTTCGCGTATATGTGTTTCAGCCTGTGTATATTTCTTCTTGACCGCCCATTCTCAAACAGTTCCCAGCTGGACTTGCCATGATAAAATAGCGAGTCATACGGCAGAAACTCCACCAGCATATAAAGCGCATGAAAGTTCTCGCTCGCGTTTGTGTCATATTTGCTGTCACAAATATGCGAATCTACATAGCATATGTCGACAAAAGTATTTAGCAGTCTTCTAACGAGTCGCGAAACCGTGAAGCAGGCACCGAGGAGACAGACAGTGACTTCGCTGTCCGTCTTCTTTTTGATCATTATTTTAAGTTCCTCTGCTGAAACTGCAGTATTATGAAGCAACTAGGTTCTTTAACTTGCTTTTTCTGGTTAGAGAGAGGCAATCTTTAAATGAGCAAAATAAAAGATACGTGCACGAAACAAAAACAGAAAGTTGGTAAACTTCTGTTATTAAACTTAGTTTCTATGAGTTGCAGAAGAGCGACAAAACGTCTTCTGAAAATCAAGGCTTTACGGAAGCGCATGTGGTCGGCATGAGATACACAGTGAAGGTGAAAAGGCGTAGGATCTGCGCCACCAAAAAAAAAATATCAACACACACAAAAACGTTTTGGCTCCAACATCTTGTTCATAACTCACACAGAAACGCATTTTCGAGCTGATTACCTTAGAGATGTATGGCTGAGATAACTTTATTAAAGCTCTATAGGTCGCGCTAATTTCCAGAAGCGGGCCGCTCCCACGTTGGGACCAAAACAGCTAGCCTTTCAGCCGCTTTGTGGGCCCCATTGCTCCTCTAAAGTATGCATGACGATAGTTATGACGAGAGCAGAACGATGACAAAGGGACAAGAAGCGCTCGTGTACTTCTTGTCTCTTTGTCGTCGTTTTGGTATTCCGCTATAACAATCGTCATGTCATACCAACTAGCCCAAACTGCCACACTTCTAAAGTACGACAGCGTAAAGCTGCATCCCATCGTTCTTCAGTATTTTCCTTGTTATGTGCGCTTGAATATATCAAGCAAATCAGGTACACATGCACTGACAGTAGATTACAATAGTTCCTGTTGAGGAAACGCGGGGCGGTCTGTGTCATGAGCAACTCAAAATAAAGCGTCGTGACACTCCTCTCTCTATCAGGAACACATCCCTTCCCCAGTCGACTACGTGTTCTTGGAGAAAAAGGACTGCCGAGACGACTTTACCTTTAGTCGCCCATGACACAGACCTCCCCGCGTACCCTCGACAGGAACGATGGCGATCTGCCGTCAGTGTACGCATGGTGCCTTCGTGATATATTGTATTTAAGGCGATCTGCTCGGACACATATTTTCATTTTTGAGAACACGGCTCCCGTGTCTTAGATAGAACATGTTTTGTTTGTGTGTTTAAAAATTCGCGCCGTGCCTCCGCTTTTTCGTCTCCACGAAAACAAGATTTTGCGCATTCAACTTTCAACTGTGACCCCTAATTTATAGTTGGACAGCACTCCCTTTTAAAATGGGTCATATAGCCTTTTAATCTCCAGCTATAGGCATAAGAATATTTTCTGGGAACAATACCTTGACTCTGATGAGTTGGTACATCGCAGCGATGCTTTATTGCTTTTGTTCCAAGCTTACGCCATGTATTCGTCTCCAAATGGAACCAAAGGCTCCACTAAGTGCATCACCTATTATAGTCAGGCCTTGGGCAAGGGATACATAATTGGACGCTTAGTATGCTCAGTATGAATGTGTCACGCCATGTCACCTTATAGATGCAAGTGTACAAAGCGTGCCAGCCTAAACGTACCGACATTGCAAAGCTGAACTTGTCACTTCAAATGCGTTTCGTGACAATTCATTTGTATACGTTCAGATGTTTGTAACATGCCGCTCCTTATTTCTGTAAGTTGAGGTTATCTACGGGTATTCTCAGGTATTTCTGGTTAATATGTCCAGCCGAACATAGGAAGTCTAATCTATCGGTATATTCCAGCTGACCGAAACACCATAATACAATATTTTATTTTAGCGAAACTTACTCCTTGCCTTCCCGGTGCCATTACCAAACCATGAACGCAGCGCATCGACAGAAGCTATGGACAGGTTTAAAAAGAGCGCCGAAACGCTCCGAAAAGCGAAGAACGTCCATCAATCAACCCCGTTTGGTTGTTATTATTTTGATCATGCTGAGACACCATTCTACGTAATAGGCACCGCCATCTCTATCTATTTATAAATGTTCTGCGAAACCTCGCAAGAAAAATGGACTGCTTGAAAAAAACGCTCTTTCACATTAGTGTGTTCTCTGCTTTCTTGCGCGAAAACGATCACTCATCGTAACGACCAAGCTCAGCATAGAGAAGGCGCGTTGCATTCTAGCTGAACGGTATCCTGTCGTGAAACTCGTCTGGGAAACGTAGAGTGTGCGCATAGATATTAAAATATTCCGAAAGCATACGCAAAAAAAATAAACAAGGTGAGATGGTAAAGAGTGTATTTGTAAACATACCTGTCTCTGTATTTCGAATGTTAGTGCCAGTAGCACCAAATATTGATGCGACGTTGCCACAGCATTCAGCAAGATGTTTCAGCACTGCGGCAACATTGCGTGCTACTATTGCGTGCTCACTACATTGCATGCTCAGTAAGAATTTCCCATTCTGGTTATTCACGTGTTTGGTGTGCTCAACCACATCTTTTGTTATCAAGCAATTCACTCACAATTTAGGAAACCCAGCGGTACCCAAACTTTGAAACTCTTTTGAGGTCAATAGGCAACCACAGCAAAAACGTCAGCCTTAGCAAGTGAATCGTTAGGGAGGCCGAGAATAGTTATGGAGCTACAAAAACATAACTCGTTATAAGCATCGTCGCAGGTGTCACTGAGCTTGCCTCAGCGAAAACAATAGTACTGCGTGTGGGCCAATCGAATACCCAAGTTGAAGCAGTTCAGTGCTGGACGCACATGCACCACAGTAAATTGGCAGCAACAAGCACAGGACCGGGTTAACTGGCGGAACATGGGAGAGGCCTTGGTCCTGCAGTGGACGTAGTCAGGCTGATGATGATGATGATGATGATGATGATTATGATGATGATTAATTTTATGATTAAAGGGGCCTACACATAGGATTTTTTCTTAGCCATGGGTGTTGTGCTAAATAGGCATAGTATTTGTTACAGGTGGCGTTCTTTTAGAAGAAATTGGCAGTGAATATTACTGTTACATGTCCTTCAAAAAATTGCATTATTTCAGTTACCACAAGCTTCATTTGTTGCTGAACCTCAAGAATGTCATCTTTTTTTTATAATACATTTTTTTATATCCCATTGAAGCCTCTTGGCAGGGCTGATAGGTTGTTGAAGCTAGCCAAGTTGGGTACATACATTCCATTCAAAGGAAATCTAGGTATTTTTTGGCACTTTAGAGTTAACAAAAAGGTGTGGTAAGGCCTTTCAAGGTTCATGAAATCTAGGAAGCTCCTGTGTATAGTTAGAGGAAAAAATTACTTGATATATTTTTTTCATTTTTCATCTTTAGACACTTCACATGTAATTAGCTATTCAAGAAGTGTATAATATCAAAAATACGTGCTTTATTATTTTAATTTCATGACTGGTCAAAAGGACTCGCATTTATTAGGGATAAGGTTGTAATTATTAAAACTCAAGCTTCACTAACGCGTCTTGTGGAAATTAAAGAGCACAGGCCTATCCACCAGCTTTGAAAGAACCTGGGGACCCATCCGCGGATTCATGAGAGTTGACTAACTCATCATGAAATTCTGTAATTTCAAGAAAACCACCAATTGCAGAACAATACCTAAATTAATGACTTTACCGCCTATGAAAAAATTTAGTCCTATAAATCCAAGGTACCAATCACTGCCATCAACTTTACGCAAGGGTCACTTTAGCAGGCGGCGTGAAAGACTCCAGTCGAACCATATAACTTCGCCGGACGCGATATTTTCTTATACGCTCAGAATTTTCAGTTTCGTAGAACTGCAGCGACACTCAGTACCGGGAAAGCTAGAAGTTGTTACGTGAGCCTCACAAACACAGTTACATATCGCTGTTTCATCTATAACAAAACTAAAACAAGAAACACAGGCAAAAAAGAATAAAACAAGACTGTACAATAAATAGGACGTTTATTTCTGCAAGTTATTTTCGTGAATTCAGACAGCACTTGTTTGTTAAGAACGAAATTAGGACATTAACACAATAATATGCACCTTGAATACTGTTGTGTTGAAAGGTGCGTGCTGGGCTCTAGCTCTTAATATACAAAGGCTTACACTCAATTTATATGTCATGCATTAGGTAGGCATACTGAACAAAGCTTCCTGCGTGTTGTTTGTTGAAGGTATGCACAATGGGCGTTTTTCGCAGATAGTTAGAAATGCACAAAAAACAATTTGTTCTAATTATAGCCTCCCGTTTTTTTCAGTAAATTTTCTTTTACATACAGTTGGAATAACGACTCAGAAAATGTTATACGGCTTCAACTCCGGCTTATATGAGCATGAACGAAAGTGAACATTTTTTTTTGTCGGTCAAAGAAACCAGTGCAGTAACACCTATGGAACCCTTGTGTTAAAACCAATGTGCCCTGGTTTTGTGAATGATATATAAGCTGGATTTAATCCAACAGCAAGATAAACATAATTCTTCCATGTCTGTTTTTTTTTTCAGAACAAGCTCGATTGTTCAGTAAAAAAGCAGTGGAAGAAGCCACAAGTGGACTCTGCGAATGATAGTTTTTAAGTGCACATCAGTCTGTGAACTGTTCGAACATATGAAGTTTGATGAAGAAATGCTCTCGTGGAATCATGTGTTCTTCGAAAAAATGAGAACTGTGATTGATTGAACCACCTGACATTTTATACTTCACATAACTACATTCCCCTGCATGACTTTCAAACATTTTTTTTCACGGAAGCTTCTTTATGCGCAAGTACATCTCCTTGTGTGCTCAAACCATATTATGACAAATGAACTCCACTATCCAAACTTGTGACGATATTGGCCTACAAAATGAACACAAACAGAAAGTACAATAATATAAAGAAGATAATCCGCTGCCCCTACAATCATTCGTAACTTCAATAGCGTTCTTTGTACAGGAGAAAAGGTGAATGTCTCTCCTCAAGTTAGCTTCAAAAATTTGTCAAATTGCTATTATGTCATCTCTGCCCCCTACAGTGGGAAGATTTCTGGACACTTGCCAAAGCAGCTCCTTCTAGGCATCTCTGAAGTGCGCCGCTGAAAAAACACATCCTTGGAGCGAACTTCCTCCCCATGGAAATACGACGGCTTTTATGAGTGTTGGCTGTACCATTCAAGCATTGAGTGGTGGACACTTGATATGGCACATATGTGTAGACACGAGGCAGGTTTCTTTGCGTTCTGCTTTACATAAAACTCCTGAAGTCACAAAACACTTTCTCCGGGTCTCTAAACTATACTTACCACGTGGAAGGCTATCTTATGGCGAGTAGAAGGGAATTTTATTCAATGCCCGCACATGAACTCTCTCGTTGTTTTGGGTCTGCTGTTATGGCACTAATAACAAATTAATTCTATTGTACCGCCTGCATGGCATTTTAAACGACCCACCGTTTAATTAATATTGCGCCAAGCGTTTACCTCCAAACATGACACTTCCATGCAACTCTTTCGGTGCACTGTTAGGTGATCTGCTTTGTAGCCAAGTGGTAAATGGCGTTACGGATGTGTCGATATATATAGAATTACTAATTTTCAGAACACGTTTGCTCTTTCAGTAGTCCTTTTACCATAATACGGCGCGTGGTACACCTCGCAATTCCTATGACCGCATACCAACAGCTCTGGGAAGGAATGTATATGCTTCGCACTGGTAATACATTCCGGCTTGTCACGCACTCACACATTTCTCTTATTCATGGCACTTGTTCGCATAACACAACTCCTCTCTATGTCGAATTCAATAAATGCTCACATGACGTTTTTTTCAGTGAGTCAATATGCAATCCGGAGGAGAGAATTTGAGAGCGAAAGGTAAACAGTTGCACCGAACTACAAATGTCCCATCAGAAATATTGCTGACAGCCAGGGTAGGACGCTTTGCTTCGATACACTAGAGTTCTCCGTATGCCACACACCAAAAACGTCAGCTCAGGAGCTGCGTTCAACTGTTGACAGGAGTCAACGTTGGCTGCTACGCCGGAAGGGGTCTCCTAGATGGAAGCTTCACAGCACAGGGCACAGTTTGATCTCGGTAACATCTTACCACGAGTGACTGCCGTCGTCAAATAGTCGTTATGAAAAACACCATGACACGATGGAACTCTGTCCTGAGTTTGGCCAAGAGCACGCACATGTGATAAAACGGGCAAGTGCTTACGAGCACTTACACTCCTCGTCAAAGCAATGTTCACTACGCCGGGTCACAAGCAACTGTTTTTCTTATCAAATACTTGTGCGAAGACAGCGCACTCGCTTCACAGCTGACGGCTCGTGGAGCGTTGGTTCGGAGTGGGTGGAACTTCAACATGGAAGTATGGTCGAGTCACATTACGAAGAATCCGATATAGTTAGCTCTGATAACTGTCTCGTAGCACACTTCTCGGTGTAATGAGGCGTCGAGAAGGTGTTGCTCGTCCTGCTACTCCTCAGATGATAACGTTTGTTTGGGTGATCACGCCCGGATGACGACGCCCGTTGATAACGTCCGGCATTACAAACGCATGCTGTGAATGTCCTAATGATCGTCACGTGACATCACCTTGGGCGCTTCTTCTTTCTCTCATTCAACTGGTGATCTCAACATAGAGCGCTTCACCGGGTTCGAGGTAAAGCTCGCGGAAGTTTACTCGTGTCGGGAGGCTTGAACAGGTTCCAGCAACGACGTTGCCTTCGAAGCCGAAGTCTGAGAGGTCGCTGGTTACGCCTCGCGGCGCAAAATTTGCTACCACGGCGTAGCGAGCGCGACGTGGGTAGAAGCGTTCCATAGCGAAGATCTCTCCGCACTTGCGCACTAGCTTCGTGTTGCATCGTCGGTGTCGATGTGATGGCACGCCCGACATATACAACGTAACCACGCTGCTCCTCAGCTCAGCCGCCCTGGCCAATGTGTCGATGATCTCACTGGAATTGTCTACGTTCCTGATGACGTGATCGGGATGGGCCGGCATCCAGGGTCGTGAGGCGGGAGATGAGAAGTTTGCGTGGGTCGCGTCACTCCACTGCATGGGACCCAACTGTCCCGTCCGGAAAGGCTGCACAACGAATGAAAATGTTCGTTTATTTTGGAATAATCATAATACCTTGAACTTTAGCAATGATACTGTTTGTTATTTGGGAGAGCACATGTGCATGATATCAAAGCGCTACAGTTAGGCGGGAAGAAATGTGTTACCTGGTAATACGCACTTTTTACTCTCATATACTAGGGACTAGAAAAAAGCCACGTGAAAAAATTTTAGGAGCGTTATGTATCATCCCATATGTGCCTTATTACTACCACTTGAAACAAAGTAATGACTCGGTACTTTCAAATCACCATGACTCTAAGGCTCCTCATAATATAACAAAGAAAGAGGTGGAATAATCATGGATGGTACATATTAGAGTACATTGAAACATATTCAGAACACAGTATTTTTCTATGTCACTTTTTAAAAGCGAGTTCACTTACTCGTCCAGTTGATTGGTCTACAGAATCCTTCATGCCAATTTCGTCCCCGTAAAATAGAGACACCGTGCCTGGCATGCCCCAGAGGGTGAAGAGTGCAGCTAGTGGGTCGACATCCACGAGTCGTGATGCAAGTCGTGGACTTTCTGAGTCGCCGAGGTTCCAACTCAACCACGGATCCTGAATAACAAGCGGAATCAAAAGCAATTCATAACTGATGTTTAACGAGAGCAACCTTACTGAGGTGACAAGTATTGCCGAAATAGTTATTGCTAAGGCATAGCATTCTTGCTTTCTAATATGACACTTATATCTATAGTAAGGTGTGAAACTGCATCCAGATACACCGATCAAGCATTCAAATGTCAATAATTAATGCAAAACATTTCCCTTCATGAATAAAGACATAATCTAAACGCAGAAAAGCAAAACTGACACATACAAAAGTGCTGATTATGTTGGCAATGCAGAATTCCTACGAATCCATTTATAAATGGTTAGCTTCAGACTTTTATTCGGAGGATGGCCTCTTTTATAGTTGCAATTATAATGTGACTTATGCAAAAAAAACCTGTTGTGTGCATTGTACACACCTATAATGTATAACTGGCATCACGATGCAAGATTCATACGGCTTTTTATGCAGATTCATTTCGCTTTTGACACAATGTTTCTCTTACGAGCTATAGGTCTCACTTCCCTGCACACTGTTTTACCTTCCAAATGAAATTTCTTCGTATTCTACAAGACTGTCACTAATATACCCTTCTGCAACGCTACACAAGATGCTCAAGTATATAGTACTTTCGCTTCTATTTCAGCGTTCTTTTATATTTCTTCAACGTAAAAAAATAGTGCAGTTATACCAACATGAAGAAACCATAAGCGATTATCAAGGTAGAACAAAAACAAAGAGATTTGTCTGCTATACTGACCATTGCCATATTGGCAACTCCACCACAGTGGCTTCTTTCACCGCTAGACCCGCCAGTGATGTTCTCGTCGGTGCTGACTCCAGCGGTAGTGCGCGCGTCAAGTCTCGTCTGTCGCGTCACCTGTGCGAACCGTGACGCTATAATTTGCGTCACGTTATCAGGACCACCCTCGAGTGGCACGTGGACGTCTAGAAGGTCAAACAGGGCCACGATTGGCTGGATGAAGAGTGAGTCTCTGTCAGCCAACTCCTGGGCCAGGTTCACCGACGTCATGAGGATGCGTCCACGCTCGTCCAGATAGTCATGCTCATCCAGCAGTCGTCGCCATTCTAGCAGTACCTCGTAGAGTTCCCGGTCGTCGGAAACCTGATAGGACGTGGGAAATGATAAAAACATATTTAGATGCGAAAGCTTGAGGAAAACCGAAAATGAAACCTTCAAAAAATCATTTATAGAGGAATCTTTAGTCAAGAGCCCCATAAACATTAATAACTTGCTCTACCTGTTTGAACAGCTAAACACAGGCCGACCACATGCATCGGCACTGGCTGGGTCTCCTATGTTCTAGCCTCGGATGTTACGTCTTCAGTTTATTGAAACTCACTCACTTCGACCCCTTGTAGAGTACTAGCTTGAAGGTCAGGCAAATGCTGAACAGTGGAGCCCCCCTACATTATGCTGTGCACGTCATTCCAATAGATCCAATGATCTCCGTTCGGAATCCAGATATGTATCCTATGTTCCCCATATATATGCGACGTTTTCATAAGTACATTTTGGAAGCATGTGAAAATGATCAAATTACATACTAAACACTTCAGTAGGGTAATTACGCTTCAGTAGTTCGACTGCCAAGCAAGAGGCTGCTGGTCACTGAAAATTCACTTCCCAGTAAGCATCAGAGGCTTCAGGCTGTGAGCTAAGTAAGTGTCACTCATCTGTATTTGCACTTAGAAGTAATAGCATTACATACGTTGAACTGAAATCAGAAGAATTGTACTTTTTTATTCTATAATCTGTACAAAAACTTCTTTACTTCGAAACATTTCTGAAGGTGTACGAAGACCATGAAGTGTTCACTTATAACCTTCAAGACAAGTAAGACAGATTAGAAGAAAAAGTTGCACCATCTGCTGCTGGAGAGAACTATGTGTATATGCGAAGCAGCGGGCGCTGACGCTTACACTGGCGGTGACGTTGACGCTGGCAGTCTTTTTTTTTTGCAATTAAACTCGTTAGCAGACGCTGCCTGCGTTAGCATTGCAAACCGAGAGATGGGGAAGCGTAGGAGAGGATATAGAGTGAGAGGAAACGCGCATGCGCAATGACAGTGTAAACGCCATGGGGAGGAAAGCCCAGAAGAAAGAGAGCGGGAGCCAGCGTAGGTTAGTGGACGTGCATGCGCTGCAAGGGTTGTGACGCCGCACACCGGATTGAGCTCGATCCTGAGCTGCTTGCACGCAAAAAGGAACGCTTAACCTGACATTGGCAACATCAAGCTATGCGCCATTTTCAACTGATCCTGTCTAGGAATAGGCTGATTCAGGGCGTGTCGGGATAGTAAACCTCCCATTTGGTTATGGGAAATTCGTAAGCGGGAAGTGTCATGGATCCGAGGCTACCAGTAGAATTGTTTCGTTCCGGCCTTAAAAATTGAACTCTACTTGTCGAAGCATCCATTCTAGCACACACCTCCTCCTTACGAATTTCTCATCGCAAGCTTCCGTCTTTCCTTCGTTGCCTTTCTCTTTCATCATCCAAAGTGCCTTGTTCATTATCGCCGGGATCTGCTAATGAAGCGAAAAAGTATAGTTGTACCACCGTATGACGTATTCACCTGCAACCTGTCCACGTGTTTCAGGTAGAATCCATCCACTCCTTTTTCGATCCACACTGCAAGTGACCTCATGACTTGCTGCCGCACTTCAGGGTGAGACCAGTTTAGATAAAGCTGGTTTCCGAAGGGCCGCTGAGGGTCACGCCGATCGTCATCGTCAGAGTCCTCCCACTCGTCGACGCCATTGCTCTGCGAGAGTAGGCGATGAAAGTGTACAAATGTATGATTAACATACTCTCAGGAAGTGTTGGTTCAACACGAACAAAAACTTTCTGCAACTAATTGTTTAATTGCGCGATTGCAGCATACACACGGTTGCCACTCTACTTTAACGTCATAATTCATCATCAGCCTGGCTACGTACACTGCAGGACAAAGGCCGCCCCCATAATCCGCCACTCAACCGACTTTAACGTAACACGAGCTACAACGCTCTGATAACTGCCACGACGAGCATGGGGGCTATTGTGATGTGCAAGCGCGCTATGCTGAAAGATTTCAAGTGTTCTTTGGTGCACAGTGGTATTTACACTGCAAGAATGAATCTTGCATTGTAAGTTGAAACATAGCACACCAAAGAAAATGAATTCCTACTTTTGAAAAATGTGTGAGCGACAGGTTCAGTTAGGTTTAAACAAGGTCTCCAAATGGGCAGAGGAAAACGGATTCCGGCTGAACCCAGGAAAAAGCTCGTGTGTCTTGTTCTCCCGAAAGAGAGGCATGCACTCAGAACCCGACATTGAACTAAACGGCCAACGTCTGTCTGTGAATGCGGAGCATAAATTCCTAGGCTTAATCTTGGACAACAAGTTGACCTTCGTACCAAACATAAAGTATTTAAAAAACAAAATGTTTAAAAGCCATGAATGTTATAAATTGTTGTCACGTACTACGTGGGGTAGTGATAGGCAATGCCTCTTGAACCTCTATAGAAGCCTTATTCGTACCCACTTAGATTATGGGGCCGTTGTCTATCAGTCTGCCACTCAAAGTGCCTTGAAAATGCTGGACCCCGTGCACCATTTGGGCATCCGCCTTTTTACGGGTGCTTTTCGCACCAGCCCCGTAGAAAGCCTTTACGTTGAGTCAAATGAGTGGTCGCTTCATCTGCAAAAAACCTACAATCCTTTGTATATTTCCTTAAGGTGAAAGCAGACAAGAGGCACCCCTCATACTCTACTATTAATGACTTGGCGAGCTCCATTCTTTTTCAAAACAGGCCTTCAATGAGGCAGCCCTTCTCAGTTCGCCTGAAGGGTCTAGCTGAGGACACTGGAGTGTCACTCGAACACAGTTTAATGGCTCCTGTAGCATACCCGCCACCGTCCACTGTGGCAGACTATAGACTGCGATGTGTCTTCCTAGAGGTTAAAAAACAAAAAAACCCAGTCCTTGTCTCACTTTACTCCATTCTGTGCACACTCTACACACACAAACAACATGTAGTGTGCTGGGTGCCAGGGCACCGTGAGATCCAAGGCAACGTGAGGGCGGATCAGCTCGCTGCATCCGTCCATGAGAGCACCGCCATTACATCTATATCGATCCCGGCCCTTGATCTTAAGCCGTCTCTCAAACGAAACCTCGGGGACTACTGGCAGAGCAAGTGGGATACACACACACAAAACAAACTACACGTTATCAAGCCACACCTTGGCCATTGGCCACCAGTATCAAAATCACGTCTAACAGAGGTAACACTAACAAGACTCAGGATAGGACACACATACACGACACACACACATCTTTTATCTGGTGGTGATCCACCATTGTGTGATAAATGTGGTGAGACATTAACAGTTCTTCACGTTTTAATTCAATGTAAACATTTAGACACTCTAAGAAGACACCACTTCCCTCTATCCTACCGACAACATATACCTTTACACCCTGCAATGTTCGTCGGTAGGGAACCGCTTTTTAGTCACAAATCATTATTAGCGTTTTTAAAGGAAATTCATAATTTTCATATCATATACCCTGGAATACCGTAGCACGACCTCTCTAGAGAGGTTTTTGCTGCGGTGGCTACACAGGAAAGCACTTGCCTCACGGCCCTTGGACGCAAGGGTATGAACGAGTGAGGCACTTGTGCTAATGCCATACATATCCACCATCGTCTTATTATCACCAACTTTTGTCATCATTCACACCACACACACATCTTTCACGGCATGGTCATCATTTTATTACTTGTATGTTCTTACCAGCCTTATCGCGAGGAATTTTATGGCCCTTATACAGCCGCTTATCACAATCATTGTCCATATTTTTAGTAAGATGAAATGGCGCTCTTTGGCCAACAAATGGCCCTTGCGCCAAAAAACACCATATATCATCATCCTACTTTTGAAACTCAGCTTTTCTCAGAGAATCTATGAGCTCACCACGTATCACCATAGATAGTGATGTGGTGAACTCAGAGATGAGCCTGGTCAATTCGTCGAAACATGAACGTGGTAGATTTGTCGTCGCAGCCACGTCCCAGATAGCTTACTCGAAATCAAGTTAACTTGTAGGCGCGACTAGCGTGAGAGTGACCTGCAGTTAGGGACAGTGCGAAACTGAGAGAAGAAATACTGCGCGTGTCATGAAAGCAATCTGGTGTACAATAACACACTGACGAGGTAACGCACGCATGGTGCAGCCGAATACAGGGCCTGGGAACTAATTGAAATGCGGCCGAATCCCAACTGATAATGAAATGGAAAGCCCCTGGATATCCTGGAGGAGTACTCCGCCCAGCTACGACACTAACGAGATTTTTAGGCGTCATTAGCTATTCGCGTACGATCGCGTTTGCACCGTAATTCCACGGGGACGTGTCATTCACACCCGGCGTCCCTAGAGAATTTTTTTTCGGACGATGTAGCCTGTGCCGTCCAGCTCGGGCTAATTGAAAAGCGTAACGACCGTAGCGGCCACTGACAGCCGGATTGTCTCTCGATTTCGAAGCGGTGAGAGACGACGTACGGTTTAGGAACAGGTTTGCGTGGTTAGCGGATTGTTTTCGTTTCAGATAGAAAACGTCTGTCAGCGTACGGAAAATAGATTAGCCTAGATGCCACGAACACAGTTCTTAGATTGCCTGAGAATAGAAGAATTCGAAAAGTAGCAATTAATTTTTTTTGGTGTGCCATATTTCAACTTACGTTGCAGGATTTCTTCTTACAGTGTAACTACCATTTTGCATTGGTGCATACGTCGAATGTCAACATCGGTAGTTTTTTTTTCTAGTGCTTATGAAGGCTCCATATTAGTGTCGCTTGAAAAATTAGTTTTTACTACAATGATTTAAAAGTGGGCGTGTATGAGTGCAACCTGTTTTACTTATAAAACACGGTAATGATACTTCTGTGCAACGTAAATGCACGTGTACGTTCCTTATCCTCATTCAAGCCATGTTTTTAATTCCAATAAACAGATGCACAAAGTTAAACCAACTATTTAAAGGAAATGCAGAAAGCATCCAGGATTAATGTGATAGCTAAACCTTTCATATTCTCTGTTCGTTCAATAAAAATCTCTAGGCTTCCTCAAAAGTATTGCTACGCAAAAAGCTATTCCTCAGATTGTGCAGCGTTTTCCTGCGACCATCACCTTTAGGTACTAGTCAACATTTTTTTACATTTACGAATCTAGGATTCAAGAAGTCATTTTACATAGACCGTAATTGCATTTACAAGGGTGTTGACGAGCTTAGACACTAGCATATTAGTATATCAGTTCAATAATGTTTGAATTTCAGTTGTAAGTAGCATATATACGTGTGAACAAGGGGAATCTTTAGGGTGGGCCGTTGTTGGCGAAGAGAAGGGAAGGGGTTGCATCTCTGAATCATCTTACGTAGCACATTGGCCTACCTCACATCCTTGCTAGTTGGATCAGAGGTGTTCATTGTTCAATGTTAAAATTTGTGGCTCCGCAGGTGTTGTACGAAAATGATTGCGAATGACTCCTGTTCTTGCGTTGCGCGAACTGTTTACTTCGTCTAATAACTATTAAAAGCCGAGGACCTGGAGAAGGCTATTGTTTGAAGCGCAGGGCCTCTAGATTTGTATTTTACTATTTATTTCTAAGCTTTTTTTTTCATCGCACTCGACCGATGGGTCGTGGGAGCTACGCTTATTTCGCTTCACTAATAGAGAGTCATCATGCGCACGTATCTGTGAATATGAATATCATTATTCAATCAATCAACCCTTCCATTATATATTTGACGTTGCCTGAAACAACAATTAGCTCTTAATGCAGCTACACGCAAAAATAGAAAAATAAAATAAACAGTACAGTATAGATAATCTCCGAATAAAAACACAAAAATAGCGAAAATGCATAGTCAAAAAGAAATCATGGCTCAATGGGAGGATTGGAAGACGAGACGATAATCTAGGAAAAGAAGTAAAAAATGAAGGGGAACAGGCATAACAATGTTGAAGGTTTCCTCAAAACATAAAAAGGCCGAATCTGTGCATTATTACAACTATCTCTAGAAAGAGAAAAGCTGAGATAAAAAAATAACAGCGGACTGTGAAAACATCAAACAATTGAAAGTTAACATGGTATAACTTTGTATCCTGCGAGCAGAAGATTTGAAAAAAGTTAGCAGGTACATAATATGGTGGATTGTGTCTGGTCAACTTACAAGAAATCCGAAAATATACACTAATAATAATAATAATAATAATAATAATAATAATAATAATAATAATAAATAATAATAATAATAATAATAATAATAATAATACTAATAATAATAATAATAATAATAATAATATTATTATTATTATTATTATTATTATTATTATTATTTCCTAAACCGTATGATTGTGAGGGACGCTGTAGTTGAGGTGTCCGGAAACTTTGACCGTTTTTTGTTTTTTACCATACATGACATCGCACCCACTCGGGCCTCTATCATTTCGCCTTTATCGATGTGTCATCGCCCGACCGACATAGAAATATGACATTCGTGTGTGCAACCGGGTAGCCACTAAATTACCGTGGTTGACAAGCACAGATACTTGCTACATTGGAAGCCGGTGACTCTGAAACGTAACACAGTATGACTCATTGAAATAACCCTAAAGTCTAACTAAATGCACCTATTTTTAGGGCAACAAACACTTGATTTCTCCCGCTAAACATAAAGGTACGCAGTACATACTAGCCTACCAATCTATTCTGCCTATATACATCATGGTAGTCGTCTATCTCTTAGTGAATGCAGATACATTTTTTTTCCACTCACCATTATTGCAGACTCGTTGAGGGGCACGTAGTAATTGGCGTACTCCCCGTACGGGATCGAGCAGCCAGTGAGCAGCCCACGAGTGCTGGTCGCTGGTCACCGTCGGGTTGATGTCCAACACCACTCGCAGACCCATCTCGTGGGCCCGTTCGACGAACGACGCGAAGTCATCCATGTGTCCCAGGTGGGGATCGACATTGTCGAAGTCGATGATGTGCTCGTACTCGAGCGGATAGTCGAGCGCGCTGAACACCGACGTGAGCCGCAGGGCCGACGCCCCGATTCGGTGTCGGACGTAGTCGAGCCGAGAAGACAGACCCTGTGAAGAAGGGTTTCCTTATCCTGAGCGGACGAAGTCGCGGAGAGGGCAGTGGGTTGTTTGAAAGTTAAAACTACTGTTGGCGACCCTAACACAACCAGGATCTACCAGTGTGCTCAGTGAAAAAAATTTTTTGATGAACAGTTCTTGGACTGTAGATGGCTAATAGATTGTTCCTAATGTCAAAAAACAAGTGATGCGTGTGCGAGGAGCTGGCCCACTACGGTGCGTCGTTCTTCTAACTCCATACAATTTATTTATTCATTTATATATTTGAAGTTAATACTTGAATTACCCGTAGGCAACACGAGAGTGGTTGCGTTAGAGGTACAATGCAGTGTTCGCACCAAAAGAGACAGAGTACTAAGCTCGAGGAGTAAACCAATAAAACTATGCTGTAAGTTTACTACAACAAAAAGAAAACAATATAGCCACGAATAACGCTAAACATACAACAACACAGTGCAAAACGACACCTCAGATCATCATGAATTATAAATCAGGGCAGTGAATTCAATTGGAGATTGATTTCACTGTAACACATAAAGTTCATACAGCGAAAGTAATGCAGAAACAACGAACACGCCGAAACTGCCGTATACTGGAGCCTACGATTTTCCCACCTTGTTCTTTATGCATGTGTGTTCACTCACCTTTCACCAGAGTTTGCTTCCCAGAGTTTCGTTTTATTGGGGGGAGGGGGCGAGAGTGTCCGAATGTGCCGCAAGAAAATGCAATAAACTGAAGTATGTATTAGGTGGTAGTATAGTTACACATTTGGAACATGATTAGGAGTCTCAAGGCGAACGAGAATCATAAGACAATCAAAGTTCAATTACATTCGGACACGCAGACATTCACACAAGGCCCAATAAAACATTATTTGCTAGAATTGTGAAGAGAAAATCACTTTTCAACTTCTCCCGTAGTAAACCGAACTTTAAAGTGGCTTTTATGTTATTGTTCTTTTATATATTCGGTAATGGTACGTCCCCTCTCTGTATTGGCAAAAATATTGATAAAGACATTTCTAGCGCGGAGCATTGCACTGTTTTAGCGGCCATCAGACCCTGGATATTAACACGATAGCGTTAAAAAGCTCCTTTCGCAAAAATTATGGTGTCTGTGTTGGCGTCGGTCTCAGCGTCATTGGTTGTGAGTGAAGAATCATTGTTTCATGCATGACCGAAAAATCGAGAACAATGCAACTGAAAAAAGTAAATGATAGAAAAAAACAATGGAGCAGAGTGGAAACCAAACCACGGTTGTTTGGGTACAATTGGAAATTTAACTCCTGTCGTTTGCGTGGCAAGCACATGTTCTACCCCATGACCACGCTTCTGCTTGTGAAAACAACAAAAAGAACTTCGTCTGCTCAGAAATTAAGCGAAAGTAGCTTTCCTGCTTCACAAACTAACGCGATCTGTATACATGCTTCACAATGCAACATGAAATATGGCAGTAATATTGCCTGGTACAAGCGTCCCTTGCCAGCGGGCATTAGAATATGTGGACTATCTTAATGTTTCCGTGGTTGAAAGCCGGCACCCCACTACAGAAGGCACATACGCTACTGCGCCTATTCCCTTAAGGCCTCGTGTAGTAGGTGCATAGCAAATTCAAAAATTTTCATGCACTAAGTGCTTTAAACACGCACTAGGAACAGAATGTCGCTATCGCGTTCAGCTCCTAAAGATGAAGCGTTAGGGTCCTCTAATTTTTTAGATTCTTTATCGGCTGAGTGGGAACATCCGACAGTTTTTCCAGAGTTAAACCGGCATTGTAAACCGCAACTAACCTGGAAGTCACCGAACCCGTCTCCGTCTGAGTCGACAAACGAGGCGACGAACACCTCGTACATGACCGCACCCTGCCACCACTGCCTGGGAGGGTCGCACGACGAAGGCCTCAGCAGCAGTACGCCGACGACGATGCACAGCACGGCGACCAGGCACGAGACGCAGAGCAGCAGGCAGCCGATGCGAATGGCCGGCCAATTCCAGCCGGCGGAAAAGGCCGAGTCGCAGCAGTCGTCCTCTTCCTCGTCCCCGAGGCTCCTTCTCTTATGGGCTCCAGCTGCTCCTCCACTTCGACTGCTTTTCTCTACGGTCTCCAGGAGGGCCGTCGTACTGCCTCCACTGTCGACTATGCACGACTCCCCGCCGCAGGAGTCCAGCGGTGACTTGAGCGAGCTGCCGGAGTCCAGGGCCCTCGTAAGCGCCGTGTAGGCGTGGTGGTTTGCCGTGGAGAACAGGCTTCCCAGGCTGAGACCCCTCTTGGACTGGTCGTCCACCTGTTCCAGTTGAAAGAAGTTCGTGGGAGAGATGACGATGTTGTTGTTTCGGCAGGTGCCGTCGATGGAGTGGCGACCACAGGCCTGTCGGTGGGAACCTTGGTGGTAGAGGTGGTGGTGATGGTGGTGCCTACTGTGGTCCTGTCGCTTTGTGTTGGCTGAAGTCAGCGACTGACCGTTTCCGGTGATCTGGAAGATGTCGCAACCAGCACCGCTACGCTCGGAAATGCCGAGGCCGCTGCGGCAGCCCGCGTCGTGCTTGTAGTTGTGGTCCTCATCATCTGTATCCATAGTTTGACAGGCTGCAAACGAAATGAAACAAATAGCGTAGTTAAAATGCTTCACCTAGCTTCCGTTACAGCTGAACTAACTGGATGAACCAGTTTATAAAGTTCTCAAACAAGACTAGAAACGTACTTATTTATGTAACAAAAAATTCTAGAAAGTGTCGCTGAAAAGCTGCGCTTTGAAGTGTCATGTTTTAGGACGTTTCATGTTTACTAAATCGTCAAACATAATTTTTTAAATTCTTTATTCTTGTTTTAAGCATGCCGTCAGCTATTCTGACGAAGCATTATGCAATCTGCTGAGATAATATACTTCGTTGTGATTAGTGTTGCACTTTTGGCTAGTACGTGGGACACGAGAAAGCACGAATTAAAACAGTAACAAAATGGCAAATGCCTAAAGTGTGGACTGTCCTTGTTTCTTTGTCAAAGCACTTTTTCTATTCAAATTTTGGAGTTGTCAGTGACACGCTGATAGATTGTACTGGCGTTCGCGAAAATAGGCATGTGCCGTTCGCCCTTACATTTTCGTGAAGACGTCACTGAAGTTGACTTATTGTTCTGCATTTTTATGGAAAATTGTATAATTATACAGATAATAATTTCATAGTCTACCAACAAACTGTAAAAATATGTTATGGCCATACTGAAATTATCAGGCGAAATTCTACATTATAGAACAGGTCTATAGGACAACTAAAAGCACACTATAGCTTACCTGCACATAAGAAGCTCGAGCGACTCCCCCCCTCCCCCCCCCCTGCCACCCAGTATAGAATTGACATTCACTTGCATCGCTCGCATAAAGCACCGGTCTATTATCCTTACACTGCATTAGATAGAACACCTGAACTGTTTATTCACACTATAGCTCGTGACATTGGCTGACTAGCACTAACAGAAAGAAAAGATCAGAAAGTTCTCGACAACATTAGGCCTCTAAACGTGAGTCTAAAAATAATTAGTACAATAATCAAACCGACAGAGTGAAATAACTATACTGCAGTCAGCGAAAATTGGGGTGCTTATTTGGAAAAGGCATCGCTTCCCGAGACAAAAGATTAAGGGAAATTGAAACACGAATATTGAAAGAAGACTCAAGAAAAATGTTTTGCGTGCCAGTTTTCTACTGCTGCTAATCACAGGAATTTTTGAACCATACAAACGTGTTGAGTGTCGCATCTGAGCGTATTATGCGCTAACAAAGGATTACGCATCAAAATTAATGAAGCAATGCGATAGGAGGGTTTTTTAAAGGTCAGGTTTCCAGAAATCAAGAATTAGGGTGGGAAAAAAGGGGCGTGGGGGGAGTCAATGCAAGTCAAGCGCGAACGTATAGCCCGGCTTTAGAGTCGATATACCGGCGTTATCATCAGCGACCTTTCAGCATGCCCTCTTAGCCTCCTTTCTTTCTCTTCGTGAAAGAAGTGACGGCAGCTTCTGCTGGGCAATGCCTAATGACCGTCCGAGGATTTCATTAATCATCGTAATGAGCAGCTAACTCCCATCGGGGCGACGCTTAGCGCTCAGAGCTCAGGGCCATCTGTTTCACGGTTGACGCGGCAAGGGGGATTAATGTGGTCGAACGCTGGAAAGTGGTGAAAAGCAGCTCCGGTGTACAATTACTAAAGAAAAGGGAAGCATGATAAAAGGAAGGGGAGGAGTGGTCAGCGGAATGAACTTTTACACCTTTTTTTATTGATATGATATATAAGGAGATGTTTTTTTTTCAGTTGATAATAAACTTTTACACCCATCGTTCATTTGCTGCCTGAGAGTAGGCTGTACTGTAAGAAGGTGATGTAGTTTTGATTAGAGCAGGGCACGCGTACTGTTCTTGCAGTTCGTGTTGGCTTTTCATCATCCGAGATCAAGTAATGGTAAATCTTTCTTGAATTTTCCGAAATTTGTGACAGGAACCACTGGTGCAGCAAAAGTGAAAGTTGGTATGGTTGGCAGCGCTATGTATTGTGGTGTTTTAAATGCAAAGCATTTTTTAGCGTAATTTCGCGACTTCAAGCGTATCTATCTATCTATCTATCTATCTATCTATCTATCTATCTATATATATATATATATATATATATATATATATATATATCTATCTATCTATCTATCTATCTATCTATCTATCTATCTATCTATCTATCTATCTATCTAGCCACCTACGAGTTTTATCTCTCCTGGCCGTTCCTATAATGGTATCAATACCAAACTTGGTATGGCATAACATTATACTATGAGGAACATATTTGACTAGTCATTACATGAAAACCATGACATGTCTGTCATGAATGACAGACATGTCATGAATGACAGGAATGACATGTCATGAATGACAGGACCATGACATTTCATGGTCCTGAAACTCTTGCGGTGGTTGGGATTACATGGCGTGTTGAAAAACTGGTATGGTATGGCATGATTACATGACGAACACAAGCAACAGACCCTAACATGAAAATCATGACATGCGTGTTTAGTAGCAACACGACTACATGCCACGCTCATGATGCGCTCGCGGCCATTTTGCTAGCTCCACATATACCAAGTGTGTTGTTATGTGATGTCAATGGGTGACGAAGGTATATGACTTGTGCAAACATGACAATCCTGACACGCGTGTCATGTAAGAACATGGAAACCTACCATGCTCATAGAGTGCTCACGTCCATTTCGCAAGCTCCACATATACTAAATTTGGTATCACGTGACGTGAATAGATTACGAAGGTAAACGACACATCCAAACATGATAATAATGACACTGAAACCATGTACGGCATCATTTATCTCCACTTCGTAACGTTGTACTGAATTTAAAGTGACTCATCAACCTTTCTCAATCGCTTCGCATATCATCGATTCCCACTGCACGTGGGATCTGTCAATTTTTTTTTGTTGTGTGTCAGTGCGCTGCTGGTTAATCGTAGCTCGTGCATCTTGGCAGTGTGTAGTACTATTTAAAGCACCAGTAATATTGGGTTCGTACGGCTTGTAGCCTGTGAACCGCTCGTATTCTTTAAACGTGAATGTCATCTTTCTATCTAACACCTGATATCCCTGTGTTGGGCTACACAGGTGCTGATTTTTTTAATGAACACCCTGAGTAGTCGGCGACTGGCTTATTGGTAGAACATGACTTAGCTTACAGTGAATAGGTTTGTTATTAGTTTCTTTATCAGTTTAGTGGCGAAACTAAAGAGCGAGAAAGCAACCGTCGGCAGTGCGCGCAGAAGGACCTCGAAAAATTGTGGTTGGCTGTGCTTTCTGCCCTGAACTTGGAGGAGCACATTAGGATGATGAACCAAGCCAGATAACTGACCGGAGCCATTGGCCGTCCCAACTAAGGAAGCAGCGCATGCACTTTGTGTGAAGCGTAGTTTTATAAAATAAAATAGACAAAACTATTTCGCCTAATATATCTTATAATTGATCGTTTTTATCGCTTTTTCTCCTTTGTTTGAACCAGCTCATGAGCAACCACTTTTTCATTTGTTTTATTCAACCAGTCAAATCAACATTATTTATAACATGAAAAAATGAACACCGAAGTGCCAAGTTCCAGCGTGCTGTAGTGGTATACCGTGTCGAGCTCGAGATCTCGTTTGCGTCTAGAGGTTTAGAGCCCGACTCTTAATCTCTAATCTATTTTTCAACGTTATTCCAGCACGTACTTAGCATCCTGGAACGCCAGCGGCCGAAAGCGGCGCTACCACAGGTTCGACGCGAGTAGGTTGCTGCGCCGGGACGTCCAAGCGTGCTATTGTCTCGCTTTAATTCCCCTACCCCTTCCCCATGTATGCCGAATTGCCAATAAGGTTGTTTCACTCGCTTCAACGTTTCTTTTTTCATTTTGTCGTCATGCTCATATCTAGCCGTCATTACGGTCTTGTCGCGAATAAAACTCGCATACCATTATGGAGCTCAATTACGGCCCGACTTTCGCTATTTTTTCGTGAGGTGTACTACTGCTCCCTTCGGTGGCGTCACGCTATGCTTCTTTGGGCAGCGTTATGGTACTCTGTTGAGGTGCAGTATTAGGACCCTTTTTGGGGTATGTAGTATACCTCAAGAAGACGTGATATACACTGGAAAAGAGAGTGAAATATGGGACACGAAAATACACCCTTAAAGACACTACCCAGCACTCTTAGTTCTCACAGTGAGGCTGGCCAGGTGACCAGCTACCAGACCACTGTCCATTTTGCCATGAACATGTGTCTTTGTTTCTGTGCAGTGACTCGCGCCGTTTGTTATTGAAACACCCTTGGGAAATTTCATTCGCTAAACTAAACACTACTGCTGCTGTAAACGCCTTTATGTTCAAGCCGATCTGAATACAATTTAGTTCTATTCATTACGAAGGTGTTTAGGTATTTCAAAGCTCGAGTTATAATTACTAAAGACAACTAAAAAATTCTTTTATGTGATAATCCTCCAGCTGTTAACTGAGAATAGCACTCTGATGGTTGTTTCTGATTTTCGCGTACCTTTTTATTTATCATCATATCAACATTTTTGGTAACCAATGTTGATGTCATGTCCGTCTACGCAATGCGGATCGTACTTCCATGCCTGAGCTATATATTGCTCAGAGAGTGAAGTGTATGCAACGGCAACAATAGGAAGCCTCCCAAGTGGCGACATCCTTTAGCCGTGTGAAGATGCAATCCACAATTTTTTCTTTCTCTTTCCGTTGAATCAAGCGACTTCCCCGTCCTCCCGATTTCAATGCACCCAACACGGAGTCCCAGTAGTGTTCATTACTAAGCCCGCTTTTTGTACTAACGTTGCTGAGTCCTGCCGGAAGTTGCAGCAATACGGACTCCCCGCGGGAGACTCGCATCTCCGACACATTCTCTAGACAGAACGAGAACTACGCTTTCATTTTCCTTCCTCCTTAGCATTGTGGCACTCGGTACAAAAGACGGGTGCATTTGTACCACTCGCCGCAGTTCCCGAGGTACCGCAACCACTCTCCAAGCAGGAGCACACGCGCACA